CATCCTCCTCTTCACCACTACGTCCCCCCCTCTCCACCTTTTTTCAATTTTCTGTCCCTTATCTTCACCACCCCATTCCCCTCTTTATCTCTCCATGCTTTTTTTTCACTTGCCTACCCCCCTATTCACCCTCTTTTCCCCCCTTCTGTATCCCTCATCACCTCCCCTTCCTCCTCTTTAATTCCTCATCCCCTATTTCTGTCCGTCCCTCTTCTTTTTTTTTATTTTTTCCGAAAAGAATATACTGTATATACACTGCTCAAAAAAATGAAAGGAAGATTTTGAAAACCCATCAGATCTCAATAGGGAGGAATCTCCTGCTGGATCTCTATACTGACATGGACGGTGTGATGTGTGAGGAACCTAAGGACGCCCCATCGTTTGATGGAAATGAAAATGATCGACCTACAGAGGACTGAATTCACAGGCCCCCCCGAAAGTGAAGTGAAGAAATGATGCAGCAGGCGAGTCCATTTGGCTGAAATGTCATTGCAGCAACTCAGAATGGTCCTCAGTAGTCTGTGTGGCCCCCACATGCTTGTATGCATGCCTGACAACGTCAGGGGAGGCTCCTAATGAGACCACGGATGGTGTCTTGAGGATTTCCTCCCAGATCTGGACCAGGGCATCACTGAGCTCCTGGACAGTCTGAGGTGCAACCTGGTGGCATCGGATGGACGGAAACATGACATCCCAGAGGGGTTCTTTTGGATTTAGGTCAGGCAAGCTTGGGGGCCATTCAATGGTATCAATTCCTTCATCCTCCAGGAACTGCCTGCATACTCTCGCCACATGAGGCCGGGCATTGTCATGAGGCCGGGCATTGTCGTACACCAGGAGGAACCCAGGACCCACTGCACCAGTGTAGGGTCTGACAATGGGTCCAAGGATTTCATCCCGATACCTAATGGCAGTCAGGGTGCCATTGTCTAGCCTGTAGAGGTCTGTGCGTCCCTCCATGGATAGGCCTCCCCAGACCATCACTGACCCACCACCAAAACGGTCATGCTGTACCATGTTACAGGCAGCAGAACGTTCTCCGCGGCTTCTCCAAACCCTTTCACGTCTGTCACATGTGCTCAGGGGGAACCTGCTCCCATCTGTGAAAAGCAGAGGGCGCCAGTGGTGGACCTGCCAATTCTGGTATTCAATGGCAAATGCCAATCCAGCTCTATGGTGCTGGGCAATAAGCACAGGGCCCACTAGAAGACGTCGAGCCCTCAGGCTACCTTCATGAAGTAAGCTTCTGATTGTTTGGTCAGAGACATTCACACCAGTGGCCTGCTGGAGGTCATTTTGTAGGGCTCTGGCAGTGCTCATCGTTCCTCCTTGCACAAAGGAGCATATACCGGTACTGCTGATAGGACCCTGTCCAGCCCTCCTAGAGTAACTGCCTGTCTCCTGGAATCTCCTCCATGCTCTTGAGACTGTGCTGGGAGACACAGCAAACCTTCTGGCAATGACACGTATTGATGTGCCATCCTAGAGGAGTTGAGGTGTCTGTGCAACCTCTGTAGGGTCCATGCTACCAGTAGTGACACTGACCCTAGCCAAATACAAAACTAGTGAAAAAGTCAGAAAAGATGAGAAGGGAAAAAATGTCAGTGGCCTCCACCTGTAAAACCATTACTGTTTTGGGGGTTGTCTCATTGTTGCCCCTCTAGTGCCCCTGTTGGTAATTTCATGATCACCAAAGCAGCTAAAACTGATGAACAACCCCTTCTGCGACTTACCTGACCAGATCAATATCCCAGGAGTGTCATCGGCTTGATGCTAGACTCGGATTACAAAGTCTTTCTTTCATTTTTTTAAGCTGTGTATTTATTTAATTAGAAATTACAAACAGAGTGTGACAAGAAAATTCCATGAAATATACACAACCCAAAGAGTAAAGTCACAGAAATATACCATGTAATACAGAACCAGACTCATTTCAAGAACATCAGAAATACGAGAACCAACATAGCTTTGTTTCATACCTAAGGTGAGGCCCAAACCCCCGGCTAGATTCAGGTAGTTCCACCATTTCTCATCCATACACCCACATGAGCAAAGGATGGGAGAGACCACACAGTCTACAGCATGTCAAATGGACTCAACAATTCATGAAGGTGTTAAGCGGGCAAAGTGACCCAGAAAGAGAGCCAGCTCAGGATTCCTACATGTCATGTTCAGCCCGTCCAGATATCTCAGTACTCCTCAGTGGTCTGAAAATGAAGCCAACATGCCCAACGCTTAGAGAAATGGAGGGCATCTCTGGCAATGTGAATCGATTCCTCCATTTCTGCTATGATATGGTTTGATGAGCTTGGTGTGGAGGAACCCGAGTTGCCTTCACAAAGCCTTGACCTCAACCAGTACTAGACCTCACAAATGCTCTTTTTAATAAATGGGCCAAATTCCCATAGACACTTTTCTTGTGGAAGCTGTTATAGCCCCAAAGTGTTGTTCAGTTGTGTATCAATGCTCATGGTTTTGCAATGGTATATTAAGCAAAGTTGTATATTGTAGGTGTGATGGTCAGGTGACCACAAACTTTTGATCATATAGTGTACAAGGATTGTGGAACATGTTACCATGTAGACCAGTGTTTCTCGACTTTTTTACCTTGGTGGAACCCTTGGGAAGAAATTTGAGATCTTGGGGAACCCCTGAAAAAATATTCCGATCTACAGCTCTTGGAACATTGCATCAGTGAGCTGTAGATATAACAAACAAATGCAGAGCAGCGCAGGGAAGCTGTTGTTGTAACATGCCTTTTCTCCTTGATTCTCACTAGCTTTCCTCTCATCCATCCCAGGTAATATCACATACAAGATCCTGGGACAGACAGAAGAGGACGACCTATGGGGAACAGTGCAGTAATTTACAGTATGCTTCCCTGCACCACCCTGTAAATCCATAACACAAGGTTTCTCAATTGGGTTTCCACTGCAAATCAATATTGTGATGGAGGTATATCTACCCAATGTTGTTTTCAATACGCACTGTCAGTGCACATTGATACCTGGTGCCTCCTCATCAGAGGTTGGATGAGACTGAGTGTAGCGGGAGGCGAGATCATAATAGCTCATTCTCATCCAGCAGTTAGACTTTCAATCATGGCACAGTCATTAAATCCCTCCTGAGATGTATGCAAACCTGGGGGCCAACTCCAGGAAACGTCTGACCTCTGTGATTGACAACAAGGGATTTGTCACCAAGTACTAAGTCATGTTTTGTGAAGGGGATCAAATCCTTATTTCCCTCATGAACATGCAGATCAGTCATCATTTCTTAGACATGCATTTCTGCTGAATTTGTTGTTGCTATTCTGTCTCTCAGTGTTACAATACACCGAACATTCGATTTTTAGACCGATCTAATCAGTCTAATCCGCCAACAGCTCCAGTGCCAATCTTGCAGGCCTGGGACCATCCAGGTTGATGGAGTGAAGGATGATCAGTTCTCCAATCTCCCCTCCGGGGAATGAACTGAGACGGGAAATTCATCACTTCCAGGGTCTTCATTCGCCGGTCGCTGCAGCTGATTAAGCCCGATCTGTACTGGATCAGCTGCACTGGGGTCTGGGACCGGCGTTGTTGATTGAGTGAAGGGTGATCAGTTCTCAGATCTCTACCCTCCAGTGGATGACCCGAGACGGGAAATGCTTCCAGGTTCAGAGCCGACATTCCCCGGTCACTGCAGCTGATTAAGCCCAATCTGTACTTGGTCAGCCACGTTGGGGTCCAGAGGTGACGTTGGCGGTCTAATAGACCCCTGATGTCTCATTAAGGAGAACCTGTCACAACAAAATTCTATGACACAGGAATGTGTGGTCCATGATGTGATATCAATAAAGTTAAGTGGAAGAAAAAAAAAGTGGGAAACAAAACTAACGTTCCATTTTTAGGCTTTTTTCTGAACTAGTTGAATATTTTTTATTGATTTGAAATGGAAAATGTTGAGTTTGGGAACTAGATTCTAGGAAATGCATTATATAAAACATGGCCGATATTCATTAGAGCTGGACGAATGCTTCTCACATTTGTCCAATGAATTTTAAATATAGACCTCTAAGTGTTTGTGAAATCTCCCACCACAAAATGCACTCAGCCAATGACAGGTCAGGACGCCATTTATATTCTTCTCCTGCCATCAATGGCCAACCCGGTCCCACACTTCATCTACGTCTTTGGTAACCTCTGACCTCCTTATGAACTGTTTCTTCCATGATGAAGATCAGCCATGGAGTATATCTGAGGTGTATATCAGGGTGTGCTTCTTCCCCACATGAGAGCTGGGATGTCCAGCAACATTCATCTAGAAGACATTTCCCGCACTCAAGGCACCTCCAGGGTTGTGTGGGACCCCAGGAAGACAGGATTTCAGTGAGGAACATTTCCCTCACTCAGGACAGGAAAGTGTCTTCTCCCCCGTGTGAGATCTCTGATGTCTGGAAAGATGCGACTTCCTTGAAAAACATTTCCCGCACTCAAGACAGGAATATGGCTTCTCCCTCCTGTGAGACCCCTGATGTGTGACAACTTCTGACTTTTGTGAAAAACATTTCCCACACTCAGGACAGGAATATGGTTTCTCACCCGTGTGAGATCTTTGATGTCTGAAAAGATTGGACTTGTCCATAAAAACATTTTCCGCACTCCGAACAAGCATACGGTTTCTCCCCCGTGTGATACTTTTGATGTCTGACAAGTTCTGATTTTTGTGCAAAACATTTCCCGCACTCAGGACAGTTATATGGCTTATAACCTGTGTGTAATCTTTGATGATAAGAAAGATTGGACCTATTTGAAAAGCATTTTCCACACTCATGGCAGAAATACGGTTTCTCCCCCGTGTGCAATCTCTGATGATTATAGAGACTGGACTTATCTGAAAAACATTTTCCGCACTCAGGACAGGAAACTGGCTTTTCCCCCGTGTGAGACCTCTGATGTCTGTAAAGATCTGGCCTTCGTAAAAAACATTTCCCGCACTCAGGACAGGAATATGGTTTCTCACCTGTGTGTGATCTCTGATGTAAGGAAAAACTGTGACTTAACTGAAAAACATTTCCCACACTCAGAACAGGAAAATGGATACTCCCCAGTGTGTAATCTCTGATGATTATAAAGATTGGTCTTACCTGAAAAACATTTCCCGCACTCCAGACAAGAATGTGGCTTCTCCCCTGTGTGAGATCTATTATGTCTGTGAAGACTGGACCTGTCTAAAAAACATTTCCCGCACTCAGGACAGGAAAAAGGCTTCTCGCCCCTGTGATACTTTTGATGTCTGTTAAAACAGGACTTGTCTGAAAAACATTTTCCGCACTCAGGACAGGAATACGGCCTCTCCCCCATGTGAGACCTCTGATGTGTGACAAGACATGATTTTTTTCCAAAACATTTCCCGCACTCAGAACAGGAAAATGGCTTCTCACCTGTGTGAGATCTCTGATGGATGACAAGATCTGATTTTTGTACAAAACATTTCCCGCAGTCAGGGCAGGAATGTGGCTTCTCACCCGTGTGAGATCTTTTGTGCACATTAAGACTGGATTTAACACGAAAACATTTCCCGCACTCAGTACAGGAATATGGTTTCTCACCTGTGTGAGATCGTTTATGCGCATGAAAATGAGATTTAAAATGGAAACCCTTCCCGCACTCCATACAGGAGAACCTCTTCCCTGTTGGAAGGCCGGACCAGTCCTGCACAGTCTGAGGTTCCTCAGGATACGAGGAATCCGATGGTCCATCTACACTGGGTGGTGCCGGATGGACATTGGAGGGAGCCGGGTTTTCTCCTGGACTATACTGTGTGATGTCCTCATCTTCTACTTTCCAGTCTGGAGACAAAGTGAGACAATCCTCGGAGGTTTTCCTCATCTCCCGGCCATGGACTAAAATATAAAGACAAAGAGGATTACTAGTCAGGCCTGATTGGTTCCCCCAAACCAGGACTCCGCCTACATCAGGCAGCTTGGTCTCTGAGGAGCTTCCAATTCCACCCTCAAGGCAACTAGGAAATGGGTCAGTGACCAATCATCTCTGTAGGAGTGTCCTCCTCTATAAATGTCCCCGTTATTCCATCCTCCTCCATAGACTGCTGATCATCCCTCACATACGCCTCTTCTTCTTCTGATTTCACCTCAAATTCTATATCGATTGGATCTCCACTCTACATCAAGAGAAGGAGAGAAAATATCATCTGTAAGATAGAAGATTTATTATTGTGACATCACATAGAAAATCCGCACATTGTCTCCATGAGTCCATGTTTTAGATTCTCTGTCCCACCAACCTTGCAACGCTGAGGGATGGTGTGACCTTCCTGTGTGGAATCCCGGGAATACAGAGGACGGGGACATCTCTCTGGGAGGTTTCTCTCATTTGTTGGCTCCATCATACCATCACTGTGTCCTTCAGAAAGGTCCTTCATCACTCCATACTCCTCATCCTCCTCTCTATACTCTTCTTTAACAACAATATTATAATCCCCAAGGATTCCACTCTGAATATATAATAAGATATTCATTGTAACAAACAGATTTGTGTATAAATCAGAACTACCAGTGATTGTTCCTCATCTACCTGATGACGGTGAGGGATGGTGTGACCTTCCTGTGTGGAATACAGAGGACGGGGACATCTCTCTGGTGGGTTCCTGGTATTAGGTGGCTCCATCATAATGTCCTTGGAGGGATCTTTGTGTCCTTCAGAAAGCTCCTTCATCACACCAAACTCCTGATCCTCCTCTTTATATTCTTCTTTAACAAAAATATTATTGGTTCCATTCTGAATATAGAAGATATTTATTATAGAAACACAATTGTGTATAAATCACAGCTACCAATAATTGTTCAATATGTACCTGTTCATGTTGTGCATAGTTGTGATCCTCCTGTGTGGAATCCCGGGAATATAGAGGACGGGGACATCTCTCTGGTGGGTTCCCGTAGCTGGATGACTCCTCCATGGTGTCCTGGTACAGATCTTTGTGTCCTTCTGGAATCTCTGACTCCTCCATCACCCCATCCTCATCATCCTCCTCTTTTATCTCTTCTTTAACCTCAACTGTAGAATCTCTCAGGTTTCCACTCTGAATATATAATAAAAATGACATCAGTGGTAACAATGCAGATAATGTACAGATCCTAATGATACTATCAGTGATTGTTCCTCATCTACCTGATGATGGTTAGCGATGGTGTGACCTTCCTGTGTGGAATCCCGGGAATACAGAGGACGAGGACATCTCTCTGGTGGGTTTAGGTTACTTGATGGTTCCATCATATCCTCGTGTCCTTCAGAAAGCTCCTTCATCACTTCATACTCCTCATCCTTTTCTTTATACTCTTGTTTAACAACAATATTGTAATCCCTGAGGATACCACTCTGAAGATATAATAAAACATTCATTGTAACAAACCTGCTGTGTATAAGACAGAACCAACAGTGATTGTTCCTCATCTACGTGAGGGATGGTGTGAATGAATATCTGAGACTGGGATCAATCTGAAACAATTTGTTTTCAGGACATTTACTAAAAAATGACATTTTTCCCTCTTTCCTCCTATTTGAATATTATAAAATAAAGACATACATATTCCACTCCCCCCCACCTCCAAATGAATCCCCATCTCCCTAATAAAAGTCGAATAACCAGTTAGTATAGAAGGTGATTGGTGGGAAAGGTGACATCTGCAAATTAAGGAAATGTTCCAGCACCATAACTGGGGGAATGTTCTGCAATCTGGGTTCCCACACTATATATGTGTGTATCATCATCTACTGGCGGAAAAAGACATCATAGTGACTATGGAGGAAGAGGACGGCTGTGACGGTGGAGGAAGACTGACGGCCACTACTGTGGAGGAAGACCGACGGCCACTGCGGTGGAGGAAGACGACGGCCACGGCGGTGGAGGAAGACGACGGCCACAATGGTGGAGGAAGAGCACGGCCATGACGGTGGAAGAAGAGCACGGCCATGGAGGAAGAGGACGGGCGTGACGGTGGAGGAAGAGGACGGAGGTGCCGATGGAGGAAGAGGACGGACATGACGGGGGGGTTACTGGATGTAAATGTAAAATAAGATCTTATTACCTCCTCTGCTTCCACTTCCAGCAATGTCTCCTCTCTACTTCCTCCCAACTTGCCTCTCTCCGGGATCTTCAGTCTTATACTTGACATCGCTTCCTGTCTGTACCTGACATCACTTCCTGTCTTCCATAGAGACTTCCTGTCTGGGTAGAAGTGAGATCACCTCTTGTGGAGCTCAGAAGAACTGCAGCCCCAAGAACCATCTGGTAGTGTGACCCCGGCCTTGTGGTGGGTGTGTATGGACTGTATGTCCTCATAGATGGAGAGTTGCCAGGACAGTCACAATTTGACCCAGGCTGTGTCTTGAGAATCAAACAGTAAATGTGTTGGGGTCCGGGCAATGGTAGACCAATCGGTGTCCTGGATGGGGCTGTAAGCAACCGGTCAGCATGCAGTGATCAGCGTTGGGTGGGTATCAAAGAACGGTCAGGCAGAGACTTTCCTGCTCTCCAGGTGCATCTGGACACTGGACACATTGGGTGGAATGGGCTCCGCTCTGGATGCTCCTCCTGCGGTGTGTCTGGTGATGAGTTCCTGGCTTCTCCAACCCTGACAGATATATAGAAGTAATTGATTCTACACCGAGTATCCCGTCCTCTGAGAGGTAGTAGTGCCGGTGGAGGGGAGTGGAGGGCTCTTGGTGGGGTGTTTGTATGAGAGTCATCAATGGCCCTGTGTGTGGTGGATGAAGGGGGATTGAGGGTGCTGTGTGGTGTCCCGGTGGAAGGGGGATGGTGTGGCCTTTTCTATGTCCCACCACCTAGCTGAGGAACTGATCCCAACGTCCTATCGGTACTGAGCATGTGACATCACTGCCAGCTGTCCACGTCTATTATTTATTTATTTCAAATATTTATATAACGCCGCCAATTTACGAAGTGCTTCACATATACTGTATATTATACATTCACATCAGTCCCTGCCCCCGAGGAGCATACAATCTAAGGTCCGTAACTCACATTCATACATACACATACTGGGGCCAATTAAGACAGGAGCCAATTAACCTCCCAGCATGTCTTTGGAGTGTGGAAGGAAACCCACGCAGACACAGGGAGAACATGCAAACTCCAGGCAGGTGGTGCCGTGGTTGGGATTCAAACAAACAACCCAAGTGCTAGGAGCAAATACACCCATGTATCCTACTTTGCCCCCCATAACCCTAAGGACACCTGATGTCCTCCTCCTCACCCCAATAATTACCCCCTTCTACCGCTCTCCACCCGTTACTGGGCTGTCCCTCCTCTTCACCACTACACCCCCCTCTTTGTACCCTTCTGCCCCTCTCTTCATTGGCCTGTCCCCCATCTTCACCACCCCATCCCCCTCTTCACCGCTCTGTCCCCCTCTTCACCTCACCGCCATTTTTTTTTTTCCACTTGCATATTCCCCTTTTCCCCTTCAGTCCCCCTTCTGTATCCCTCATCACCTCCCCCCTTCCTCCTCTTTAACTTCCCATCCCCCCCCATTCACTGTCCTTCCGTCCTATTTTTTTTTTTCATAAAGAATATATTTATTCAACTACAGAGTGTGACATAAATTCCATGAAATATACACAACCCAAAGAGTAAAGTCACGGAAGTATACCATGCAATAGCCAGAACCAGACTCGTTTCCAGAACCTCAAAAATACAAGAACCAACATGGCTTTGTTTCATAACTAGGGCAAGGCCAAAACCCCCCGGCCAGATTCAGGTAGCTCCACCATTTCTCATCCATACACCCACATGAGCTAAGGAATGGAGAGACCATACAGTCTACAGCACGGGTGTCAAACTGGCGGCTCTCCAGCTGTTGCCAAACTACAAGTCCCATGAGGCATTGCAAGATTGACAGTTACAAGCATGACTCCCAAAGGCAGAGGCATGATGGGACTTGTAGTTTCGTAACAGCTAGGGCCACCAGTTTGACACTCCTGGTCTACAGCATGTCAAATGGACTCTTCAACAATTCATGAAGGTGTTAAGCGATTAAAGTGACCCAGAAAGAGACCCAGGTCAGGATTCCTACATGTCGAGCCCATCCAGATATCTCGGTACTCCTCGGTGGTCTGAAAATGAAGCCAACGTGCGCAACGCTTAGAAAAATGGAAGGCATCTCTGGCAACGTGAATCGATTCCTCCATTCCTGCTAACCTGTTAATGCGGAGTATCCATTCTTTCAAAGTTCTTTCCCTCCTCTTTACCCCCTTCTCTTCTCAGCATCACCTCCCTCTTCACCCGTACACCTCCTTGTCCACCAAGCTTCCTTCTGCTTCACCGCCGTTACCCTCTTCATTTCCCCTGCCCCCCCCAGACCATCAATGACCCACCACCAAAACGGTCATGCTGAACCATGTTACAGGCAGCAGAACATTCTCCATGGCTTCTCCAGACCCTTTCACGTCTGTCACATGTGCTCAGGGTTAACCTGCCCTCATCTGTGAAAAGCACAGGGCGCCAGTGGTGGACTTGCCAATTCTGGTGTTCAATGGCCAATGCCAATCCAGGTCTATGGTGCCGGGCAGTGAGCACAGGGCCCACTAGAGGACGTCGGGTTCTCAGGCCGCCTTCATGAAGTAGGCATCTTATTATTTGGTCAGAGACATTCACACCAGTGGCCTGCTGTAGGTCATTTTGTAGGGCCCTGCAGTGCTCATCCTGTTCCTTCAGCAGATACAGGTCCTGCTGATGGGTTAAGGACCTTCTACGGCCCTGTCCATCTCTTCTAGAGCAACTGCCTGTCTCCTGGAATCTCCTCCATGCTCTTGAGACTGTGCTGGGAGACATAGCAAACCTTCTGGCAATGGCAGGTATTGATGTGCATCCTGGAGGAGTTGGACTGCCTGTGCAACCTCTGTAGGGTCCAGGTATGGCCTCATGCTACCAGTAGTGACACTGACCCTAGCCAAATGCAAAACTAGTGAAAAACAGAAAAGATGAGTAGAAAACAAAATGTCAGTTTTCTCCACATCTAAAACCAATCCTGTTTTGAGGGCCATCTCATTGTTGCCCATCTAGTGTACCTGTTGTTCATTTCATTAACACCAAAGCAGCTGAAACTGATGAACCACCCCCTCTATGACTTTTCTGACCAAATCAACATCTCAGGAGTTTCAAGGACTCGATGCTAGACTCGGATTACAAAGTCTTCCTTTCATTTTTTTAAGCAGTGTTTTTATTTAATTAGAGAGAAAACTACAGAGTGTGACAAGAAAATTCCATGAAATATACACAACCCAAACAGTAAAGTCACAGAAATATACCATGTAATACAACCAGACTCATTTCAAGAACATCAAAAAATAGGAGAACCAACACAGCTTTGTTTCATAGCTAGGGCAAGGCCCTGGCCAGATTCAGGTAGTTCCACCATTTCTCAACCATACGTTGACTGAGTCCAAAAATCAAGTTCAAAATGATATGGTTTGATGAGCTTGGTGTGGAGGAACCGGAGTTGCCTTCACAGAGCCTTGACCTCAACCCTATTGAAAATGTTTGGGATATACTCAAAATGTCTATTGCGTGCCAGACCTTCCCGTTCAATCCCAGTACTAGACCTCACAAATGCTCCTGACTTCCCATAGACACGCTTTCCAGTGGAACCTGTTATAGCCCCAAAGTGTTGTTCAGTTGTGTATCAATGCTCATGGTTTTGCAATGGTCTATTTAACAGTCGTATATTGTAGGTGTGATGGTCAGGTGTCCACAAACTTTTGATCATATAGTGTACAAGGATTGTGGAACATGTTATCATGTAGACCAGTGTTTCTCAACCTTTTTCCCTTGGAGGAAACTCCTTGGCAAGGAGTTTGAGATCTCGGGGAACCACTGAAAAAAATATTCCCATCTACAGCTTTTGGAACATTGGGCTGTAGATATAACAACACTTAACAAATGCAGAGCAGCACAGGGAACGGTTGTAACATGCCTTTTCTCTATTTTTCTATTCAACTACAGAGTGTGACAAAAATTCCATGAAATATACACAACCCCAAAGAGTAGTCACAGAAATATACCATGTAATAGCCAGAACCAGACTCATTTCAAGAACATCAAAAAATACGAGAACCAACATAGCTTTGTTTTATAACGAAGGCAAGGCCCAAACCCCCAGCCGGATTCAGGTAGTTCCACCATTTCTCATCCATACACCCAAATGAGCAAAGGAAGGGAGAAACCATACAGTCTACAGCATGTCAAATGGACTCTTCAACAATTCATGAAGCTGTTAAGTGGGCAAAGTGACCCAGAAAGAGAGCCAGCTCAGGATTCTTACATGTCATGTTGAGCCCGTCCAGATATCTCGGTACTCCTCGGTGGTCTGAAAATGAAGCCAACATGCCCAACGCTTAGAACATTTATGGAGGGCATCCCTGGCAACGTGAATCAATTCCACCATTTCTGGAATTCATCACTTCCAGGTTCAGAGCCATCATTCCCCAGTAGCTGCAGCTAATTAAACCCAATCTGTACTTGATCAGCTACATTGGGGTCCATAGGTGATGTTGGCGGTCTAACAGACCCCTGATGTCTCAATAAAGAGAGCCTGTTGCAACAAAAAATGCTATGACATAGGGGTTTTTGGTCCCTGATGTAATATCAATGAAGTTATGTTGATAAAAAAAAGTGGAAACAAATTAACGTTCCAAATGCTATCCCACCTGCAGGCTTAGCACTGGTATGGTGGGTGCTGCCACGTAGAGGAGAGGGAGAGCAGTGAACCTCTGTTATCTGATCACTCCTAGAACGACCCAAAAACAATGTGTATTCCATCACTCCCAAGGTAAGCACCGTCATTCCTGACCGCTGTGGCTGGAGAAGCTGCAAATGGAGCACAATCTGCTCCCCATCAGGTTTAGTAGGGGGCAGAAGATCCATGAGGGGTCTAATCCACCAATGGTCCACCATGTATCTCGGGCTCTACTGCCGCTCCTGCAGGCCTGGAACTGGCCTGGTTGATGGAGTGAAGTGTGATCAGTTCTCCGATCTCCCCTCTGTTGAATGAACCCAGAAGAGACGGGAAATTCACCACTTCCAGGTTCAGAGCCGTCATTCCCCGGTCACTGCAGCTGCTTAAGCCCGATCTGTTCTTGATCAGCTACAGTGGGGTCCAGAGGTGACGTTGGCGGTCTAATAGACCCCTGATGTCTCATTAAAGAGAACCTATCACAACAAAATTCTAATTCAGGAGTGTATGGTCCATGATGTGATATCAATAAAGTTTAGTGGAAAAAAAAAAAAAAGCGGAAACAAATTAACGTTCCAAACTCTATCCCACCTGCAGGCTCAGCACTGGTATGGTTGGTGCTGCCCATGTAGAGGAGAGGGAGAGCAGTGAACCTCTGTTCTCTGATCACCCCTAGCTAGAACAAACCCAGAAGCAATGTGTTTTCCATCACTTCCAGGGTGATGTGGCCGGAGAAGCTGCAAATGTTGCACAATGTGCTCCCCATTAGCTTCAGTAGGGGGCAGAGGAGCCATGAGGGGATCTAATCCACCAACAACTCCAATGCTGATCCTGCAAGCCCGGGACCAGCCTGGTTGACGGAGTGAAGAATGATGAGTTCTCCGATCTCCCCTCTGGTGAATGAACAGAGATGGGAAATTCATCACTTCCAGGGTCTTCGTGCGCCGGTCGCTGCAGCTGATTAAGCCCGATCTGTTCTGGATCAGCTGCACTAGGGTCTGGGACCGGCGTTGTTGATGGAGTGAAGGATGATCAGTTCTCCGATCTCCCCTCTGGTGGATGACCCGAGACGGGAAATGCTTCCAGGTTCAGAGCCGTCATTCCCCAGTTACTGCAGCTGATTAAGCCCGATCTGTACTTGGTCAGCCACGTTGGGGTCCATAGGTGACGTTGGCGGTCTAATAGACCCCTGATGTCTCACTAAAGAGAACCAGTTACAACAAAAATCTATGACACAGGAATGTGTGGTCCATGATGTGATATCAATAAAGTTAAGTGGAAGAAAAAAAAGTGGAAACAAAACTAACGTTCCATTTTTAGGCTTTTTGCTGAACTAGTCAAATATTTTTTATTGATTTAAAATGGAAAATGTTGCCTTTGGGAACTAGATTCTAGGAAATGCATTACATAAATGTAGACCTCTGTTTGTGAAATCTCCCACCACAAAATGCACTCAGCCAATGACAGGTCAGGACGCCATTTCTATTCTTCTCCTGCCATCAATGGCCAAACCGATCCCACACTTCATCCACGTCTTTGGTGACCTCTGACCTCCTTATGAACGGTTCCTTCCATGATTAAGATCAGCCATGGAGTATATCTGAGGTGTATATCAGGGTGTGCTTCTTCCCCACATGAGAGCTGGGATGTCCAGCCACATTAATCTAGAAGACATTTCCCGCACTCAAGGCACTAATACACCTCCAGGGTTGTGTGGGACCCCCTGATGTACAGGAAGACAGGACTTCAGTGAGGAACATTTCCCTCACTCAGGACAGGAAAGTGTCTTCTCCCCTGTGTGAGATTTCTGATGTCTGGAAAGATGCGACTTCCTTGAAAAACATTTCCCGCACTCAAGACAGCAATAAGGCCTCTCCCCCCTGTGAGACCCCTGATGTGTGACAACGTCTGACTTTTGTGAAAAACATTTCCCACACTCAGGACAGGAATATGGTTTCTCACCCGTGTGAGATCTCTGATGTCTGAAAAGATTGGACTTGTCCATAAAACATTTTCCGCACTCCGGACAGGAATACGGTTTCTCCCCCGTGTGATACTTTTGATGTTTGACAAGTTCTGATTTTTGTGCAAAACATTTCCGGCACTCAGGACAGTTATATGGCTTATAACCTGTATGTAATCTTTGATGATAAGAAAGATTGGACCTATTTGAAAAGCATTTTCCACACTCATGGCAGAAATACGGTTTCTCCCCCGTGTGCAATCTCTGATGATCATAGAGACTGGACTTATCTGAAAAACATTTTCCACACTCAGGACAGGAAACTGGCTTTTCCCCCGTGTGAGACCTCTGATGTCTGTAAAGATCTCGCGTTCGTAAAAAACATTTCCCGCACTCAGGACAGGAATATGCTTTCTCACCTGTGTGTGATCTCTGATGTAAGGAAAGCTGTGACTTAACTGAAAAACATTTCCCGCACTCAGAACAGGAAAATGGATGCTCCCCAGTGTGTAATCTCTGATGATTATAAAGATTGGACTTACATGAAAAACATTTCCCGCACTCCAGACAGGAATATGGCTTCTCCCCTGTGTGAGATCTATTATGTCTGTGAAGACTGGACCTGTCTAAAAAACATTTCCCGCACTCAGGACAGGAAAAAGGCTTCTCGCCCCTGTGATACTTTTGATGTCTGTTAAAACAGGACTTGTCTGAAAAACATTTTCCGCACTCAGGACAGGAATACGGCCTCTCCCCCATGTGAGACCTCTGATGTGTGACAAGACATGATTTTATTCCAAAACATTTCCCGCATTCAGAACAGGAAAATGGCTTCTCACCCGTGCGAGATCTCTGATGGATGACAAGATCTGATTTTTGTACAAAACATTTCCCACAGTCAGGGCAGGAATATGGCTTCTCACCCGTGTGAGATCTTTTGTGCACATTAAGACTGAATTTAACACGAAAACATTTCCCGCACTCAGTACAGGAATATGGTTTCTCACCTGTGTGAGTTCGTTTATGTGCATGAAAATGAGATTTAAAATGGAAACCCTTCCCGCACTCCATACAGGAGAACCTCTTTCCTGTGTGAAGGCGGGCCCGGTCCCACACAGTCTGAGGTTCCTCAGGATACGAGGAATCCGATGGTGTATCTACACTGGGTGGTGCCGGATGGACATTGGAGGGAGCCGGGTTTTCTCCTGGACTATACTGTGTGATGTCCTCATCTTCTACTTTCCAGTCTGGAGACAAAGTGAGACAATCCTCGGAGGTTTTCCTCATCTCCCGGCCATGGACTAAAATACAAAGACGATTACTAGACAGGAGCTGATTGGTTCCCCCAAACCAGGACTCTGCCCACATCAGGCAGCTTGGTCTCTGAGAAGCTTCCAATTCCAAGCCCAAGGGAACTAGGAAATGGGTCAGTGACCAATCAGTGAGCAGTATGGGTGGAGGAATGGATTTAGTGTTCATGACCCACCTGTGCTGATCTCTGTAGGAGTGTCCTCCTCTATAAATGTCCCCGTTATTCCATCCTCCTCCATAGACTGCTGATCATCCCTCACATACGCCTCTTCTTCTTCTGATTTCACCTCAAATTCTATATCGATTGGATCTCCACTCTACATCAAGAGAAGGAGAGAAAATATCATCTGTAAGATAGAAGATTTATTATTGTGACATCACATAGAAAATCCGCACATCGTCTCCATGAGTCCATGTTCTAGACTCTCCATCCCACCAACCTTGTAACGGTGAGGGATGGTGAGATCTTCCTCTTTTCCTTCTGAAAACTCCTCCATCACTCCATACTCCTCATCCTCCTCTTTATACTCTTCTTTAGGAACAAAAATATCATCCCCAAGGATTCCACTCTGAATATATCATAAAAAATGCATTGTAACAAACATGCCATATATAAATCAGAACCACCAAGAATTGTCAATCATCTACCGGATGATGGTGAGGGATGGTGTGACCTTCCTGTGTGGAATCCTGGGAATACAGAGAACGGGGACATCTCTCTGGTGGGTTCCCATGACTGGATCCATCTACTTGATGATGGTGAGGGATGGTGTGACCTTCCTGTGTGGAATCCTGGGAATACAGAGGACGGGGACATCTCTCTGGAAGGTTTCTGTTACTAGGTGGCTCCATCATAATGTCCTTGGAGGGATCTTTGTGTCCTTCAGAAAGCTCCTTCATCACACCAAACTCCTGATCCTCATCTTTATATTCTTCTTTAACAAAAATATTATTGGTTCCATTCTGAATATAGAAGATATTTATTATAGAAACACAATTGTGTATAAATCACAGCTACCAATAATTGTTCATTATTTACCTGTTCATGTTGCGCGTAGTTATGATCCTCCTGTGTGGAATCCCGGGAACACAGAGGATGGGGACATCTCTCTGGGAGGTTTCTCTCACTTGTTGGCTCCATCATACCATCACTGTGTCCTTCAGAAAGGTCCTTCATCACTCCATACGCCTCATCCTCCTCTTTATACTCTTCTTTAACAACAATATTATAATCCCCGAGGATTCCACTCTGAATATATAATAAGATATTAATTGTAACAAACATATCTGTGTATAAATGAGAACTACCAATAATCGTTCATTATTTACCTGTTCATGTTGTGCGTAGTTATGATCCTCCTGTGTGCAATCCCGGGAATACAGAGGATGGGGACATCTCTCTGGTGGGTTGCTGTAGCTGGATGACTCCACCATGGTGTCCTGGTACAGATCTTTGGGTCCTTTTGGAATCTCTGACTCCTCCATCACCCCATCCTCATCCTCTTTTATCTCTTCTTTAACCTCAACTGTAGAATCTCTCAGGTTTCCACTCTGAATATATAATAAAAATGACATCAATGGTAACAATGCAGATAATTTACAGATCCTAATGATACTATCAGTGATTGTTCCTCATCTACCTGATGATGGTGAGGGATGGTGTGACCTTCCTGTGTGGAATCCCGGGAATACAGAGGACGGGGACATCTCTCAGGTGGGTTCCCATGACTGGATCCATCTACCTGATGATGGTGAGGGATGGTGTGACCTTCCTGTGGGGATTCCCGGGAATACAGAGGATGGGGACATCTCTCTGGTGGGTTCCCATGACTGGATCCATCTACCTGATGATGGTGGGGGATGGTGTGACCTTCCTGTGTGGAATCCCGGGAATACAGAGGACGGGGACATCTCTCTGGTGGGTTCCCATGACTGGATCCATCTACTACCTGATGATGGTGAGGGATGGTGTGATTGAATATCTGAGACTGGGATCAATCTGAAACAATTTGTTTTCAGGACATTTACTACAATTGACATTTTTCCCTCTTTCCTCCGATGTGAATATTATAAAACAAAGACATGCATATTCCACCCCCCCCCCCCCCCCACCTCCAAATGAATCCCCATCTCCCTAATAAAAGTCGTATAACCAGTTAGTATACAAGGTCATTAGTTGGAAAGGTGACATCTCCAAAATGAAGGAAATGTTCCAGTACCATAACTGGGGGAATGTTCAGCAATCTGGGTTCCCACACTATATATGTGTGTATCATCATCTGCTGGCGGTAAAAGACGTCACAGTGACTATGGAGGAAGAGGACGGCCGTGACGGTGGAGGAAGACGGACGGCCACGACGGTGGAGGAAGACGGACGGCCACGACGCTGGAGGAAGACGGACGGCCACGACGCTGGAGGAAGACGGACGGCCACGACGGTGGAGGACGGACGGCCACGACGGTGGAGGAAGACGGACGGCCACGACGGTGGAGGAAGACGGACGGCCACGGCCATGGAGGAAGAGGACGGGGGGGGTTACTGGATGCAAATAAAAATAAGATCTTATTACCTCCTCTGCTGCCACTTCCAGCAATGTCTCCTCTCTACTTCCCTCTCTCTGGGAACTTCCTTCTTATACTTAACATCACTTCCTGTCTTCCATAGAGACTTCCTGTCTGGGTAGAAATGAGATCACCTCTTGTGGAGCTCAGAAGAACTGCAGCCCCGACAACCATCTGGTAGTGTGACCCCGGCCTTGTGCTGGGCGTGTATGGACTGTATGTCCTCATAGATGGAGAGTTGCCAACGGTCTCAGATTTGCCAGGACAGTCACAATTGTAACAATTTGGCTGTGTCTTGAGAATCAAACAGTAAATGAGTTGGGGCAATGGGAGACCAATCGGTGTCCTGGATGGGGCTGTAAGAGGCCAGTCAGCATGCAGTGATCAGCGTTGGGCAGGTATCAGAGAACGGTCAGGCAGAGACTTTTCTGCTCACCGGGTCCATCAGGACGTTGGACACATTGGATGGAATGGGCTCCACTCTGGATGCTCCCCCCCGGGTGTGTCCGGTGATGAGTTCCTGGCTTCTCCAACCCTGCCAGATATATAGAAGTCATGGATTCTACACCGAGTATCCCGTCCTCTGAGAGGTGGTAGTGCCTGGAGGAGGGGAGCGGAGGACACTGAGTGGGGGATTGTATGAGAGTCATCAATGACCCTGTTTGTGGTGGATGAAGGGGGATTGAGGGTGCTGTGTGGTGTCCCGGTGGAAGGGGGGTGGTGTGGCCTTTTCTATGTCCCACCACCTAGCTGAGGAACTGATCCCAACGTCCTATCGGTACTAAAAATGTGAAATCACTGCCAGCTGTCCATGTCTATTATTTATTTATTACAGGTACTTATATAGCGCCATCAATTTGCGCAGCGCTTCACATATATATTATACATTCACATCAGTCCCCGCCCCCGAGGAGCGTACAATTTAAGGTCCCTAACTCACATTCATACATACACATACTGGGGCCAATTAAGACAGGAGCCAATTAACCTTCCAGCATGTCTTTGGAGTGTGAGAGGAAACCCATGCAGGCACAGGGAGAACATGCAAACTCCAGGCAGGTGGTGCCGTGGTTGGGATTCGAACCAACAACCCGAGTACTGCTAGGAGAAAATACGCCCATGTATCCTACTCAGCCCCCCATACCCCTAAGGACACCTGATGTCCTCCTCCTCACCCCAATAATTACCCCCTTCTACCGCTCTCCACCCGTTACTGAGCTGTCCCTCCTCTTCACCACTACACCCCCCTCTTTGTACCCTTCTGCCCCTCTCTTCATTGGCCTGTCCCCCATCTTCACCAACCCATCCCCCTCTTCACTGCTCTGTCTCCTTCTTCACCTCACCGCCCTTTTTTTCCACTTGCATATCCCCCTATTACCCCTCCTGTCCCCCTTCTGTATCCCTCATCACCTCCTCTTTAACTCCCCATCCCCCCCATTCACTGTCCTTCCATCCTCTTTTTTTTTTTCATAAAGAATATATTTATTCAACTACAGAATGTGACGAAAATTCCATGAAATATACACAACCCAAAGAGTAAAGTCACAGAGGTATACCATGTAATAGCCAGAACCAGACTCGTTTCCAGAACCTCAAAAGTACGAGAACCAACATAGCTTTGTTTCATAACTAGTGAGGCCCAAACCCCCGGCCAGATCCAAGTAGTTCCACCAATTCTCAACCATACACCCACATGAGCAAAGGAAGGGAGAGACCACACAGTCTACAGCACGGTGTCAAACTGGCGGCCCTCCAGCTGTTGCCAAACTACAAGTCCCATGAGGCATTGCAAGATTGACAGTTACAAGCATGACTCCCAAAGGAAGAGGCATGATGGGACATGTAGTTTCACAACAGCTTGAGGGCCACCAGTTTGACACCCTGGTCTACAGCATGTCAAATGGACTCTTCAACAATTCCTGAAGGTGTTAAGCAGGCAAAGTGACCCAGAAAGAGACCCAGGTCAGGATTCCTACATGTTGAGCCCGTCCAGATATCTCAGTACTCCTCGGTGGTCTGAAAATGAAGTCCAACCCTTAGAAAAATGGAGGGCATCCCTGGCAACGTGGATCCATTCTTTCAAAGTTCTTTTCCTCCTCTTTACACCCTTCTCTTCTCAGTATCACCTCCCTCTTCACCCCTACATCTCCTTGACCACCAAGCTTCCTTCTCCTGCTTCACTCCCGTTACCCTTTTCATTTCCCCCTCTTCACCATGTTGAGCCCATCCAGATATCTCGGTACTTCTCAGTGGTCTGAAAATGAAGCCAACATGGCCAACGCTTAGAAAAATGGAGGGCATCCCTGGCAACATGGATCGATTCCTCCATTTCTGCTAACCTGTTAATGCGGAGTATCCATTCTTTCAAAGTTCTTTCCCTCCTCTTTACCCCCTTCTCTTCTCAGTATCACCTCCCTCTTCACCTCTACATCTTCTTGTCCACCAAGCTTCCTTCTTCTGCTTCACCGCCCTGTTATGCTCTTCATTTCCCCCTTTCCTCCTCTTCACCATGTTGGGCCCATCCAGATATCTCAGTACTCCTCGGTGCTCTGAAAATGAAGCCAACATGCCCAATGCTTAGATAAATGGAGGGCATCCCTGGCAACGTGAATAGCTATCTCCATTTCTGCTAACCTGTTAATGTGGAGTATCCATTCTTTCAAAGTTCTTTCCCTCCTCTTTACCCCCTTCCCTTTCCTTGCACCACCTCCCTCTTCACCCGTACACCTTGTTCATCAGGCTTCCTTCTCCTGCTTCACCGCCCTGTTACCCTCTTCACTTCCCCTTTTCCCCCTCTTCACCATGTTGAGCCGGTCCAGATATCTCGGTACTCCTCGGTGGTCTGAAAATGAAGCCATGTCCAATGCTTACCCTCTTCATTTCCCCTTTTCCCCCTCTTCACCATGTTGAGCCCATCCAGATATCTCGGTACTCCTCGGTGGTCTGAAAATGAAGCGATGTCCAATGCTTACCCTCTTCATTTCCCCTTTTTCCCCCTCTTCACCATGTTGAGCCCGTCAAGATATTTCGGTACTCCTCGGTGGTCTGAAAATGAAGCCATGTCCAATGCTTGCCCTCTTCATTTCCCCTTTCCCCCTCTTCACCACATTGAACCCGTCCAGATATCTCAGTACTCTTCGATGGTCTGAAAATGAAGCCAACATGCCCAACGCTTAGAAAAATGGAGGGCATCCCTGGCAACGTGAATCAATTCCACCATTTCTGGAATTCATCACTTCCAGGTTCAGAGCCGTCATTCCCCGGTCGCTGCAGCTGATTAAACCCAATCTGTATTTGATCGGCTACACTGGGGTCCATAGGTGACGTTGGCAGTCAAACAGACCCCTGATGTCTCAATAAAGAAAGCCTATCACAACAAAAAATGCTATGACATAGGGGGTTTCAGGTCCCTGATGTGATATCAATAAAGTTAAGTTGATAAAAAAAGTGGAAACAAATGAATGTTGCAAACGCTATCCCACCTGCGGCTCAGCACTGGTATGGTGGGCGCTGCCAGGTAGAGGAGGGGGAGAGCAGTGAACCTCTCTCAGGGTTAGCACCATCATTCCTGACCATTGTGGCTGGAGAAGCTGCAAATGGAGCACAATCTGTAGGTGCAGAAAAGCCATGAGGGGTCTAATCCGCCAATGGTCCTCCATGTATCTCGGGCTCCACTGCTGCTCCTGCAGACCCGGGACCGGCATGGTTGACGGAGTGAAGGGTGATCAGTTCTCAGATCTCCCCTCCGGTGATAAACCCAGAGATGGGAAATGCTTCCAGGTTCAGAGCCGTCATTCCCCGGTCGCTGCAGCTGATTAAGCCTGATCTGTTGTTGATCAGCCACATTGGGGTCTATAGGTGATGTTGGCGGTCTAACAGACCCCTGATGTCTCATTAAAGAGAACCTGTCACAACATAAAATGCTATGGCATAGGGGGTTTTTGGTCCCTGATGTGATATCAATAAAGTTAAGAAAAAACAAAAGTGGAAACAAATTAACGTTCCAAACGCAATCCCACCTGCAGGCTCAGCACTGGTTTGGAGGGCACTGCCACGTAGAGGAGAGGGAGAGCAGCAAACCTCTGTTCTCTGATCACCCCTAGCTAGAACAAACTCAGAAGCAATGTGTATTCCATCACTTCTAGGGTCAGCACCATCATTCCTGACCGCTGTGGCCGGAGAAGCTGCAAATGGAGCACGGTCTGCTCCCCATCAGCTTTATTAGGGGCAGAAAATCCATGAGGGGTCTAATAATCCTCCAATGGTCCTCCATGTATCTCGGGCTCCACTGCTGCTCCTGCAGGCCCGGGACCGACATGGTTGATGGAGTGAAGGATGATCAGTTCTCCGATCTCCCCTCCGGTGAATGAACCCAGAAGAGACGGGAAATTCACTACTTCCAGGTTCAGAGCCGTCATTCCCCGGTCACTGCAGCTGATTAAGCCCGATCTGTTCTTGATCAGCTACACTGGGGTCCAGAGGTGACGCTGGTGGTCTAATAGACCCCTGATGTCTCATTAAAGAGAACCGGTCACAACAAAATTCTAATTCAGGAGTGTATGGTCCATGATGTGATATCAATAAAGTTAAGTGAAAAAAAAGTGGAAACAAATTAAAGTTCCTGACCGCTGTGGCCGGAGAAGCTGCAAATGGAACACGATCTGCTCCACATCAGCTTCAGTAGGGGCAAAGGAGCCATGAGGGGTCTAATCCACCAACAGCTCAAATGCCGATCCTGCAGGCCTGGGACTGGCCAGTTTGATGGAGTGAAGAATGATCAGTTCTCCGATCTCCCCTCTGGTGAATGAACCCAGAAGAGACAGGAAATTCATCACTTCCAGGTTCAGAGCCATCATTCCCCGGTCAGTAGGGGGCAGAAGATCCATGAGGGGGTCTAATCCGCCAAAGACCACAGTGATTTCCTACGATTGTCAGCACCATCTAGTGGCCATAATATGTCCTGCAATACCTCAAATGGAAAATAAAATAACACATGGCCGCTAGATGGCGCTGACGATCGTAGGAAATCATTGTAGTAAATAAAACAGAGGCTGTATTCGTTATAGCTGGACAAATTTGTCCAATTAATTTTTAAATGTAGACCTCTAAGCGTTTGTGAAATCTCCCACCACAAAATCCACTCAGCCAATGACAGGTGAGGACACCATTTTTATTCTTCTCCTGCCATCAATGGCCAACCCGGTCCCACACTTCATCCACGTCTTTGGTGACCTCTGACCTCCTTATGAACTGTTTCTTCCATGATGAAGATCAGCCATGGAGTATATCTGAGGTGTATATCAGGGGGGGCTTCTTCCCCACATGAGAGCTGGGATGTCCAGTAACATTCATCTAGAAGACATTTCCCACACTCAAGGCACTAGTACACCTCCAGGGTTGTGTGGGACCCCAGGAAGAGAGGACTTCAGTAAGGAACATTTCCCTCACTCAGGACAGGAACGTGGCTTCTGCCGTGTGTGCAGTCTCTGATGTCTGTCAAGATGTGACTTCCTCGAAAAACATTTCCCGCACTCCGAACAGGAATACGGCTTCTCCCCCGTGTGCAGTCTTTGATGTCTGTCACGATGTGACTTAACTGAAAAACATTTCCCGCACTCAGGGCAGGAATACGGCTTCTCGCCCGTGTGCAGTCTCTGATGTCTACAAAGTTGTGACTTAATGGAAAAACATTTCCCGCACTCGGGACAGGAATACGGCTTCTCATTTTTGTGACACTTCTGATGTCTGACAAGTTCTGATTTTAGTGCAAAACGCGTCCCACACTCAGGACAGAAATAGGACTTCTCCTCCGTGTGGAATCTCTGATGATAGCAAAGACCGGAGCGATTTGAAAAACATTTTCCACACTCACGACAGGAATACGGTTTCACCCCCGTGTGCAATCTCTGATGATTATTATAAAGACTGGACTTATCTGATAAACATTTTCCACACTCGGGACAGGAAAGTGGCTTTTCCCCTGTGTGAGACCTCTGATGTCTGTAAAGGTGTGACTTATCTGGAAATGATTTCCCGCACTCAGGACAGGAATATGGTTTCTCACCCGTGTGCAATCTCCGATGTCTGGAAAGATGTGACTTATTTGAAAAACATTTTCCACACTCGGGACAGGAAAACGGATTCACCTCTATGTGCAATCTCTGATGATTATGAAGAGCGGACTTATCTGAAAAACATTTCCCGCACTCAGGGCAGGAATATGGTTTCTCCCCTTTGTGGTATCTCTGATGTCTGTAAAGATTGGAGTTGTCTGAAAAACATTTCCCGCACTCAAGGCAGGAGTAAGGTTTCTCCCCCGTGTGAGATCTCTGATGTCTGTAAAGATAGGTCTTTTCTGAAAAACATTTTCCGCACTCTGAACAGGAATGCGGCTTCTCCCCTATGTGAGACCTCTGATGTGCGACAAGACGTGCTTTTTTGGCAAAACTTTTCCCACACTCAGAACAGGAAAATGGCTTTTCCCCCGTGTGAGATCTCTGATGTTTGACAAGATCTGATTTTTGTACAAAACATTTCCCGCACTCCGGACAGGAATATGGCTTCTCCCCCGTGTGAGATCTTTTATGCACATTAAGACCGGATTTAAAACGGAAACATTTCCCGCACTCAGAACAGAAGAACCTCTTCCCTGTTGGAAGGCTGGCCTGGTCCCGCACAATCTGAGGTTCCCCAGGATGCGAGGAATCCGATGGTCCATCTACACTGGGTGGTGCCGGATGGACATTGGAGGGAGATGGGTTTTCTCTTGGACTATACTGTGTGATGTCCTCATCTTCTACTACCCAGTCTGGAGACAAAGTGAGACAATCCTCGGAGGTTTTCCTCATCTCCCGGCCATGGACTAAAATACAAAGACAAAGAGGATTACTAGACAGGAGCTGATTGGTTCCCCCAAACCAGGACTCTGCCCACATCAGGCAGCTTGGTCTCTGAGGAGCTTACAATTCCCCCCAGAGAGTGAGGAAACAATGCAATATAGAGTATATAGTGCAGGGGTAAGGAGTATGTGGAGGATGGTGAGCAGATATACGGTGGAGGATGTTGAGCACATATACGGTGGAGGATGTTGAGCACATATACGGTGGAGGACGGTGAGCAGATATATGGTGGAGGATGGTGAGCAGATATACGGTGGAGGATGTTGAGCACATATACGGTGGAGGACGGTGAGCAGATATACGGTGGAGGATGTTGAGCAGATATACGGTGGGGGATGGTGAGCAGATATATGGTGGAAGATGGTGAGCAGATATACGGTGGGGGATGGTGAGCAGATATATGGTGGGGGATGTCTCTGCACGGTAATTGATGACAGATGCACATATTTTTCGTTATCCACAGAAGGGTTCACTGAATGAACACTTTATTAATTGAACTTGATTTTTTTTGATTGACTTTGATTTGATTCATACTTACAATATTCTTTATTTTTTGTGTGGTTTTTGTTTTATATGTACATATTTTTTATATATATATATTGTTTATATTCATATATTTATATTTTTATTTCAGTATTGATATTTTTAAAGAAAAATTTTTTCCTAATATATATTTATTTCTTCACTTTGTTTGTTGGTCATATAATGGTTTGTATCAAACCTGCCCACGATTGACAGGTTGCCGACCCCCGACATAGAGCATATACTGCAGGGGTAAGGAGTACAGTATATAATGTACAACATGGAGTATATAGTGCAGGGGTCAGGAGTATGTAATGTACAATATAGAGTATATAGTGCAGGGGTCAGGAGGATGTAATGTACAACACACAGTATATAGTGTAGGGGTCAGGACTATGGAATTTACAACATAGAGTACATAGTGCAGGAGTAAGGAGTATGTAATGTACAACATAGCGTATATAGTGCAGGGGTCAGGAGTATGTAATGTACAACAGAGAGTATATAGTGCGGGGTCACAAGTATGTAATGTACAACATAGAGTATATAGTGCAGGGGTCAGGAGTATGTAATGTACAACAGAGTATATAGTACAGGGGTTAGGAGTATGTAATGTGCAATACAGAGTATAGAGTGCAGTGGTCAGGAGTATGTAATTTACTACATAGACTATATAGTGCAGGAGTAAGGAATATGTAATGTACAACATAGAGTATATAGTGCAGGGGTCAGTAGTATGTAATGTACAATATAGAGTATATTATGCAGGAGTCAGGAGTATATAATGTACAATGTAGAGTATATAGTGCAGGGGTCAGGAGTATGTAATGTACAATATGGATTATATAGTGCAGGGGTCAGGAGTATGTAATGTACAACATAGAGTATATAGTGCAGGGGTCAGGAGTATGTAATTTACTACATAGACTATATAGTGCAGGAGTAAGGAGTATGTAATGTACAACATAGAACATATAGTGTAGGGTCAGGAGTATGGCATGTACAAACATGGAGTATATAGTGCAGGGGTCAGGAGTATGTAATGTACAATATGGATTATATAGTGCAGGGGTCAGGAGTATGTAATGTATAATGTAAATTATATAGTGTAATAGTCAGGACTCATGCTATTGGTATTCAGCAATCAGTGGTGACTTAAACGTTTACTGTAGACAAGTTGCAGAGCTCCCGCCCCCTGCCTCCCATCTCCTGAGACGGCACTCAGTGACTTGGGTCTGAGACTATACAGACATAATTCTCCACCCGATACAGCCAGCAGACAGAGCAAGGAACCCCGGGTGAATTGTTCTGGTAGAGATCCTACTATACCCGGGATGGGGCGGAAGACCTCACACACATCCCCCAGGTGTCTAGGCTGAGCCATGCTTATGGTGAAAATCCACATTTTGCTGCCAGCTGATCCCCAGAATCTCCATAATCTCCATAAATCCAGTCTAGAGACATAAATTGTGTCTGCAGCACAGAGAAGGAAGATTATCCGAGAGGAATCCAGGAATACAGGACGGCGAACACAGCTCAGGAAAGTGATATCACGCTGCCCTACTCTGCACCAATCAGTGAGCAGCATGGGTGGAGGAATGGATTTCGTGTTCATGACCCACCTGTGCTGATCTCTGTAGGAGTGTCCTCCTCTATAAATGTCCCCGTTATTCCATCCTCCTCCATAGACTGCTGATCATCCCTCACATACGCCTCTTCTTCTTCTGACTTCACCTCAAATTCTATATCGATTGGATCTCCACTCTACATCAAGAGAAGGAGAGAAAATATCATCTGTAAGATAGAAGATTTAATATTGTGACATCACATAGAAAATCCGCACATTATCCCCATGAGTCCATGTTCTAGATTCTCCATCCCACCAACCTTGTAATAGTGAGGGATGGTGTGACCTTCCTGTGTGGAATCCCGGGAATCCAGAGGATGGGGACATCTCTCTGATGGGTTCTTGGAGCTGGATGACTCCACCATGGTGTGCTGGTACACATCTTTGTGTCCTTCTGGAATCCTGACTCCTCCATCACCCCATCCTCATCCTCCTCCTCTGTTATCTCTTCTTTAACCTCAACTGTAGAATCTTTCAGGTTTCCACTCTGAATATATAATAAAATGACATCAATGGTAACAATGCAGATAATGTACAGATCCTAATGATACTATCAGTGATTGTTCCTCAGCTACCTGATGATGGTGAGGGATGGTGTGACCTTCCTGTGTGGAATCCCGGGAATGCAGAGGATGTGGACATCTCTCTGGTGGGTTCCCATGACTGGATCCATCTGTAGGAAACACACACACACTGACTGAATCCATTGTTTCTATGTGTTTATCAGATGATGGGGGATCTAGGTGGATCCTCCGTACTGCTCTCTCCCTTCCAATAAAGTCTCCTCTTACCCGGTGATGTGAGGGGCGGCTGATTGTCCATCATGACGTCCTTGTAGAGGTCCTTGTGTCCTTCTAAATACTCCCACTCCTCCATGGAGAAATAGACAGTGACATCCTGACACCTTATAGGAACCTGACACACACAATGATACAGTCACCATCCAGACACATCCCTTGTCTGTTACTAGAGAATGTCCCAGAATTCCCGGCACCGCTCACCTCTCCTGTCAGCAGCTCCATCATCTTCTTGGTGACTTCTAGAATCTTCTGCATGTTGTGTCTCTCAGGGTTTAGGGAGTCACATGGAGGCACTGTGATGCTCATATGATCACCTGACTTCAGAAGAGGAAATTTCTGTATTGAGGAACCAATAGAAATATCATGTTAGACTCCCAAACTCCTCCTCACCTCTCCGGTCAGGTCCGTGTTTTATTAATAGAGATGAGAGTGATGTCATGTGACCTCCCAGAATCCTCCTCACCTCTCCGGTCAGGTCTGTGTTTTATTAATAGAGATGAGAGTGATGTCATGTGACCTCCCAGAATCCTCCTCACCTCTCCGGTCAGGTCTGTGTTTTATTAATAGAGATAGGAGTGATGTCATGTGACCTCCCAGAATCCTCCTCACCTCTCCGGTCAGGTCTGTGTTTTATTAATAGAGATGAGAGTGATGTCATGTGACCTCCCAGATTCCTCCTCACCTCTCCGATCAGGTCTGCGTTTTATTAATAGAGATGAGAGTGATGTCATGTGACCTCCCAGAATCCTCCTCACCTCTCCTGTCAGCAGGTAGATGATCTCCAGGGTGAGGTTTAGTATCCTCTCAGTCATGTGACTCCGGTCCTCCTCCATCCTCATTGATGTGGCCATGTGATCTATGCCGGTTTCTGTGTAGGTGGATAGCAGAGAATTATCTGGACGGCATTAGTTGTGTAACATTAGGATGGGGATATAAGGGGTTAATTAGGAGGGTTGCTCCCAGTGGGAATTAGAACATGTATGATCATAACCTAATAAAATACAAAAATTCCCACAAAAGGCGTATAGCAGCCATTCTCACCCAGAGTTCCTTCAGAGGTCATTTGGGCTTCCATGAGCTGTAGCTGATTGACCTCCTATTTGATGTTGCCTACAAATTTTTAGGGCCAACACCACTAGGCAGAGCCAGCATCGTGACTCCAGTGATCTCTGAAGCCGTCTTTAAGGGTGGCATTCTGACCATCAATGGAAGAGTTGTACTTTTCTTCTTGACCACAAATGTAAGGGCAATTTTCCCCATTGACACCCAATGAATTGGATTTAGTAAGGGTTCCCCGAGACCTGAAAGTTGTTTTCGAGGTTGCTCTGGGATAGGTTGAGAAAGGTTGGTGTACAGATTCCCCATTCCCCTAAATACCTTCATCTAAACTTGCCTCTCAGCCTTCATGACAATAGCCCCCCTATGACTCAACCAGAATATTGTGTACTTTTACTTCCATGAATCTCTGCTTCTCTGTGGTCCATGCAGCCTCTTCATACCTATGCTCTGTTGGTCATAGGTTCTCTGATGTCATCAAGACCAATGCAGAGCCCTTAGACCCCAGGGTTCTCTAAGTTGTAAGACCAGTCCACACATCCTCTTCTTCCCTATGCTCCATTGGTTGCAAGTTCTCTGATGTCATCAAAACCAATGCAGAGCCCATAGATCCCAGGCTCCCCTGGGTTGTAAGACTGGACCATGCCACCTCTTCTTCCTATGCTCTGTAGGTCATAGGTTCTCCGATGTCATCAAGAC